GAATCGTGATAGTTAAGGGAAACAGATGTTGTGTGCTATATAATTTGATGATTGGATTAGTTGGTGATTCATGAGTTTACGATCTTACGAAGTAGTTTTCTTTGTTTGTATATTCATTTGAGCTCAAATAAGTTTCATATCTTGTGAGGAGAATCTTGTATTCCCTTTGTTCTATTAATAAAGAGTTCTGCTTTATATATATACCCATTGACCTCGAGCTCTTCATATACTTCTTGTATTGATTCATGGTGGAACAGAAATGCACTGTGGATCTACCAGGTGGACCATTGGAGATAGAGTGGAAACAGGAAGACAACCATATCTACATGACAGGTCCTGCGGAAGCTGTATTCTACGGATCAGCGCTGCTCTAATGGGGCCTTCACAGTCAATGACTTGTCTCTCACCGTTGTTGTTCTTTTGGCGTATGTGTGTTCTAATCTAAACGGTCTAAGCTCTTACCTGCCCTACCTATGTTGTGCTTCATGGAACCGATTCATGAACTTTTTATGTACTTTGATTGTTTTCCAAACATTCTGAATATTTGCGCTTCTGTTCATATGTTTAAATCATTTTCTCGCAATATCACTCTCTTCTACACTGATGGTTAACTAAACTTGGATATGCAGACATGGATATTTTTTTCTTACAATAATATTCATTCCACTCTTAAAAGTTTTACACAACATGTTCTTCTTCCACAAAGTTCTCAAAAGAGGTTGCCTCCCGTGCTATTCTATCGGCCACTCTATTACTTTCTCGCCGGTAGAAGTCCACTTTAGCCTCGTCAAAGAGTAGGATCAAGCTGTTAATGTCTTTGCCTTTGGTAGACATGGATATAAAACTTGAAAAAAATTGTAAACAAATAACATCCGAAGAATCACAACCCTTATAAAGAGAATACGAAAAATGCATACATGATTCAAGATATTTGGATCCCTACCAAAAACTTCTAGATTAGAATGCGTACTTTCCATAATGTTGAGGCTTTGTACTATAATTAAGAATCAGCACAACAGAAACCGATTTCAGACCCACGTTAATCATACTATCTCCTAAATGGAAGAATACACCTCTCACTAGCCGGTGTCATGTTAGCCTATCCAAGGATATGTCAACGAGGTTTTACAGCTTGGAAAAACTACTGTCCAAGTTACTTCCAGGAAGTAAAACCAAGGGCGAGAATACAGAAGAAGATGACGACGATGTTTTTGTGCAGAGCAATGTTGTGGTTTCAGAGAACATTTTGGTTTCTCGCACAGATTGGCAAATACTTTCTAAATCCTTCACCACTTTTGACATCGATGGTCTCATTTCTGGTCTATCCTCACAACACCATAACGCCAATTCCGCCAACATCTTCACTTTATCGGAAGAACATTGTCCCATCCGACTATCCGCCAGTGAAAGAACCGTTCCACATTCATGCGCCATCCTGACCTGTATCACATTGTACAGAGAAAGTCTTAAGAAAAGCGTTGATTTTTTCAGGAAACAATAATCACCCAAATCCCAGATTTAAACCGGAAAAGCATAAAGTACCTCGCGGATAATATGTGTACCCTCAAAGAATGGGTGCATTCCAGTCAAGAGCTCAAGCAACACTACTCCGAAGCTGTACACATCGCTCTTCACCGTCAATTGCTGTGTCATGAAGTACTCTGGATCTAGATATCCCTGTGCATATATAATAGCATGTCTTGTTTTGTCAAAAGCCACTAATTATATAGGAAACAATAGACTAGTGTGCCAATTTGGAACTTACCGGTGTTCCTTTCACTACGGTTGATACATGCGCGGGCTCACCCTCTACGTCCCCAAAAGCAGGAGCCAAACGTGACAGTCCGAAATCAGCAACTTTAGCATGAAGCTGACAGTCCAAGAGTATGTTGCTGGTTTTGATATCGCGATGAATAACAGGCGGATTTGCTTCAGTGTGAAGGTAAAGAATCCCTTTAGCTGAACCCAAAGCCACAAGTGACCTCATGCTAAAGCTCAATGTGTCTGTAGCATTAGCTGCAATGTCAAACCACTGAAACATTAGGATCGGTGTGGAAGCAGATCGGCAAAAGTTGGCGACTTCAAACGAATAGAATGCTAGTTTCAAATTTTGTAAGTATACAAAAGAGCATTTCTTACCTGAAAGCCAATCACGCACATTGCCATTAGGCATGTACTCATATACCAGCATCTGTGCATGAACCAAACAGCACAAGTATATGGATTAGTCAAAAAACATAGATTAAAAGCTAACTAACAACTGCATATGAAAAAAGACGTACCTGTTCCCCGATGTCACTACTGTAGCCAAGTAGAGTCACAAGATTCCGGTGATGTAACCTCGAAAGCAGATCGATCTCATTCAGAAACTCTTTCTCGCTCTGCAGAGAAGTTTCTTCTCCTCGTTTGATGGCTACTTCAGTTTTATCCGGCAAAATGCCTTTGTAGACCTTTCCATAGCTACCTCTACCGATCATTGTGGAGCTATCAAAACCATTAGTTGCATCCGAAAGTTCTACGAAACTGAACTTCTTCACCCCTTCCATTTCCCGAAATATTGTCCTGACTGGAAAACATAAGAAAAGAATCCTTAGTTTCATCGTTAATGGACAAAACAAAATGATATACCAACATAGATAGCCATTACTGAGTTGCTTACAGAAACGTTTTCTGGTGAGTATATGCGAATTTTCACGACGTTTCCTAACATAAAGAAGTGTTACACTCACAGATATAGCAGTGGCAGCGACAATAGATCCTGCCACTATCATCGCCCATACAACTGTGCTAAGTCCACTCTTTGGAGTTAAAGCTGCATCCAAAGATTTAAATATATATCATTAAAACAAATTATGTCCTTTTTGTTAAAGAACAGGTCCGAAAACTGTACCATAGGGTCCTTCAAGAGGGAATTCCAGCAGCTCATAGGGTCCAAAAAAGTCATTACCACCAAAACTCCATGACATAAACCTGTCCCTGATACGTATGACTTCGCTAATGTTGAATTTTGGTTTATCTTTCGGAATTAGCTTCAAGTACATCCTTAGTCGCAGCTTATTCTCATCAACAAGTCTATCAATTGCTAGTTGATGAGTTTCCAATTGGAGGGACGTGGTAATATACTCCATGAATTGGTTTTTAATAAATGGAGTGAAGAAAAAGAAGCTAGGGCTCTTTAGCCTATAATCAATAGAAAGAGGCGCTGTACACAAGCAGATTCCTGGGGAAACTTTCACATTCTCGTAGGGGCATGACACATTACTGCAGGGTGTACTTGAGTTTGTAGATGTTTGCTTTTTCTCGCCGCAGATATCTTCGAAGAGTTGTTTAACGATGGGAATGCTTGCACTCTTGCATATTGGGTTGCCACGAAGACTGTTTGACACCAAAAAAAGAAGAGCTTTAGTAGAAATTAGAGAAACCTATGCAAATTGTCAACTCTTTGGTTTTCAAAGCTTTTGGTGGCTGAACACGTACAGAACGAAGAACTGAAACAGACTATAATCTCAAGACAAGTAAATGCAGTTCAGTTCAAACTGTTTGATGTGCTTTTTAATTCGCTACAAAATAGGAACAAAGAAACTCACTATAGGGTAACGTTGTCCGGTGTTATCAGGTTTCCTGTAGTATCAGAGAAGTTATTGTTCCTGAGATCACTGTGCATGCAAACAAAAAAAAGGTTTTCAGCCTCTGTAAATGAAGAAAAAGAGCTAGGAAATTATCAAGCATAACAAAAAAAGAAACAAAGAGCTGAGGTCATACACTTGCAGCTTTCTGTTCTCGAAAGACTTATTCTCCCACATTTCTGCTGGAACAGAACCAGATAAACTGTTGTTCTCAAGTGAACTGTGATAGATGACACAGAAAAAAGTTACAAAGTACTTATAGATGATTGGAAAATGCAGAAAAATATGAATAAATTGGAAAATTCATTTCAATGATCAATGAATGTTATACATACAGTAATTGAAGCGAGCCCAACTCTGAGAAACTTTGTGGTATAGATCCAGTGAGGTTGTTATAAGATAGTTCACTGCAGCAATCGACGATTAAGTATTTGTATATATTTGAGTAAACTGTTTAAAGGAGTAAGATTTGTAAATGTGCATACATTGTTGTCATATTGTCGGAAAGCTTGGATTCTGGTATAGTGCCTGTGAGGTTGTTCCAACTTAGATCTCTGTAAAGAGTGAAGTTTTAAAAAGGGTGCATTTGTATTTCAATAAACAAAAGGTTCACCAACCGGAAGACCAGCAAACCGAATCACACAATTTTACACGAATACCAGACATAGACACTTACAGATAGCTAAGATTTTCTATCCTGCTTAAATCAGGAATTGATCCTTGCAGTCCACAGTTCCTTAAGCTTCTGCCAAGTGGAAAAGATGAGGGCACAAAATATAAATCAGCGCACTGTTCAAACTAATGGAGAAACATGCACCATTTGAAACTTATTGCAGAAACCGCTTGTAAAGTCTTACAATTTTACTAATCTAGAAAACGTTCCATAAGCCTCTGGAATCTCAGAACCATCGAAGTTGTTGTTATCCAGCTGACTGCATAAGCGGAATACTAGCTTAGCTACTTAGCAAAATATCATAGAGGAAAACTAGAAAGTTATACTTTCCAAGTTAAAAGGGAAACAATGGGAACAATATATGGCAGAAGTCACGTACAGTATGGTCAACGATGGCAGTCGAGCTAACTCTACTGGCAAAGTCCCAGTCAAGTTATTATTGTCCAGTATCCTACGAGATTTGTTCCTCAATGTAAACACTTATAGACAGTATCCAAATGTGAAATCAAGAAAACAAACAAAACTCACAGGTGAGCAAGCTTGGGCAATTTGGATAGCTCAACTGGAATTTCTCCGCTTATCGTGTTATTGTTGAAGTGGCTGAAGACCCAAAAGGCACTGGTGAGAAAAGGATGAACCACAAAATGACTGCTGAATTTGCCATGAAGAAGATAATACTTTGCGATAAACTTACAGATGTTTTATGCTTCTCAAGTTTCCAAATGCAGGTGGAACTGAACCTGTTATATTGTTCTCATCCACTTGAAGCCTGTTTAGATTTCCAAGATTACCAAGTTCAGGGGGTAAACTACCCGCAAATTGGTTCCCATTCAACAGTCTGTCCAAATGATGTTGCAAAGAGTCAATTGAAGGAACCCATACAAAATTGAGATTGTTTGACATGCTATGACTCCACAGTCCCATGCCTTCTTTAAAACTATCCCCATAAATGAAACT